ATTCTTTAACGATCCGTGGCTATAAACACAAATTTGGGTAATAGATTTTTTATAGGTGGTTTCCCTCAGCCTATAATCACCTAATTAATGTCACTTTAAGAATTTCAAACCTTTAACCTCAAAAACTATCAGTAAACGATCGCGAGGTGTTCATTTAACTTTTTCAAATTTTTTTGGTAAAGCGTGACTTAAAACGCCTATCAATATAAAGGAGAATCCCTTTCACGGGTATCGAGAGTGACCATATTATTGTTTTACACCCGCACTCTCATTGAGTCATGGTAGAATGGATGGTGTAGCTTAAACGTATCAGGTACTATGGATTTAGTAGGTACATCTGCAAAATTGTGTCATGATATGTGTGGGGTTCATATAACCGAACACGCGTATTTGGAAAAAGTGTGTTGACTAAAAATCCCTTTATGCACCATAAATTGAAATTGATTTACGAAGCCAATGGGTTTTATAAACAATATTTAAGAAATAAGCCATATAAAACAACTTTTTCAAAAACTAAGATGTTCTCTTGTACGAGTAAAACAAACAAAACATATTTCCTTATTCTTCTTGGTCTCCTGGGTTGTCGAAAATGTGACGTCTTATAAGTTTTGCTAACTTCGTCTATTCAGGCTCGTTTAATTATTTTTCCCTTAGTTCTAATCATTTCGCCTGCATGAAAAACCCGGTGTGAACAGCTAACTAATTTTTTTTTTAAATAAATTCTTTTATAGCTATTTAGCCTGGACTACCCGTGCACTATTTTTGTTATAGTACGTCGGGTACATGGCTAGAATGGGGAAAATACTGCACTTTTTGATTGGAATATGCCACTTTCTGAGATAGGGAGCCACTCGAAAATCCGTGCAGGAAACCAAAATGGTGGCCGTCAAAATGGCGCTATTAGCCGCAATATATTTTTTTGTATCTCTGCTCCTAATAGTCCGATTTTAGTTTTCTTTTTTTTTATTGAAAGCTCTTGTGACAAGGAAACTTTTTTGCTATAGGTATAACATTTATCTCAAAAACTTAAGGATTTAGCACAATTTTAAAAGTGTTTTTTTACGAATTTGAATCACAAGTAAGTTCTTAATTGTGCAATATCCCGGTCTTTTCGACAAAAAAGGCCATCGTTTAGAAATTCAATCGACACAACCCCAAAACTCCTTGTATCTACTCTGCAAGTTCGGAAAATTTCAATCCGCCGTGTTTTTTTTTGAAGAAATGCACCATATTTTTTCATCAGGCACGAGATCAAGCCTTATGAAAATTGAAAGGAAAAGCCTCGTCAATTTTTTTCTCTGAAACAGAAAATACATTCTGCTTTTAAAGTAATTAAAGAAACACTCAATATATCTATCAACTTTAACTCTTACTCTCGCTCTTACTTATCCTATTTTATTTAACTAGTTGGTTTAAGCTACGAAGAATGTGAAATTTGGAGTGCTTATTTATCAGATCATGGGCTTTTTCGAGGGTTTTCTCTCGGGGTTTCCTTAAGAATATTAACGGAATATTATGATTTCTACGTTTTAGATACCTATTCATATAAGTTGAATCATTTTTATTATACAGGGAATCCACCTTCTGTAAGCGGACGATAGAGCCTCAATGGTTGAGATTAATGGTAACGATTTGTTGGTACGAGAAGCCTGAGGGGAAGCCTAAAACGTATTTTTAGGTATATAGGGTGTTCTCGAGGGCAGTCTATACATTTTTATATTTTTTATAGGTGTCCCCGGGTATCCCTTAACAAAAGAATTATTTTTGTAGGTCTTATCGGTTTTTTTTCGTAATGCTAACCGCGAGGCTAACCGTTTCCCGGATATGCTTTTTATACAGGGTGAAAATTTTATCTTCAAATCATTTTTTAAAGAAGCTTTTTATGACATCCATAATTATAAAAAGTTTACAAAGATAGGCTGCGTCACCGCCAAATAACAAAGCACAATTATCCTCGCGGAGAATTCAGGAATATAAATTTAAGGGGTTGGAAACATTTGTTAACTGTCATGGACTAGTCAGTAGAGACAATAACAATCCAAAACGTGCGCTCTGTGCCAAAATTATGCGCTAATTTATCAGATGGTAAATGCAGGCAATATAGAAATATCCAACAAATATGGTCGCAGAATAATTAACAAAGGAATTGCTAGGAAAAGCAATACTAGTCAAAAATATGTATCAGTTAGTTTGTGATAGAAGCATATGTTATTCAACAGAGCCATTGAATACATTTTTATTCAATGTCAGAGCACATTTTTGATTTTCAAAAAGAAACTTTTTACTAACTGCCGGCTGTTCGGGCGCCTTTTAAGCTTTTTATAAATCGATCGCTTAAGGAATATAGTAGAACGGAAATCCAAAACACAAACCATTCCTCATAAAACTTATCGACATTTTTTTATTTTAACTGAAATCGACAGATTTTGTTATTAAAAAACGATCAGAAAAAAATGACGTCGGTAGCCAAAAACATTCGTATACTTTGCCAGCACGGCGGCAAATGTTTCTGGCAATTCTGGCTACTGACGTCACGCTGGGTAGTCTCGCGCACAAGTACGTTTTCTTGCTGCGCGCTGACCCTTGATTTTAAAGTGGGTACAGCGGACGTAAATATCAATACTTGCACCCAATTTTTTTCTGATCGTATTTTAATAACAAAATCTCTCGATTTTAGTTAAAATAAAACACATACCAAAAATATCGAACCTTCCTATTGTTGTAAAATTCAAATTTTGTCGTTGAGAAACAACATTTTAAAAGAGGCATACGACGCTACTAGTTTCGGCAAAAACATGGCATTATCAGGTTACAAATAGAGCACCTATATTAATTATCAAACTCAATGCCTAACAAAACAAGTACCTTACAGTTACAGTAATCTTGTTTAAGGTTACAAATTATTTAAAAAAAAGTTCTTCCCAACATATTTTCTACTTCAGTAAGTGATTTTCTTTTAGTAATTTCCTCTACACTCCGTTTTTAATGATGTAACTTCGACGTCTTCAAATTTCAAATTTTTTCAAATAATTTGCAACCTTAAACTTTAAGATTACTGTAACTGAAAGCTAATTGTTTTTATCAGGTTTTTATCAGCTATTGTTTTATCACTTTACAATTAATATAGTCAATTTGTAGCCTGATGATGGCATGTTTTTGGCGAAACTAGTAGCGTTGTATGCCTTTTTTAAAATGTTGTTACTCAACGACTAAATTTGAATTTTACAATAATTAAAGTTTTATGGGGAATGGTTTGTGTTTTGGATCTCCATTAGCGATTGACCCCATTGTGAGAAAACTAAGATCAAGATGGACCTCAACAATTATATCGTAGAACCTTTGGGTTTTCAGCATTATATTCGCACTATCGTGCTATTCCTGCATCGCTCTTAAAGTCATTCCATGAATACCTACCGCAGGGCCTTGCACCACACCTCACTTAAAAATATTTATATTTCGTATTCTGTCAAAACGAAGCCTACGAAAGCAAAAGGTTGGCTCGCTAGGACTGCAGGACCTTAACGGGGTATCAAATTTACATGGTCCATTGTATCTGGTCTCAAAAACGCAATACCTTGGGGACTTTTACTGTTTTAGAGTTTTGATTAGATTTGCTCTTGTCTATATGAGTATATAGGTTATACAGGGTGGTGACTTGCGTCACGCATCATAGGGATTTCAATGTAAAATTCATAACATACGATTATTGGCTCCCCAAATTATTTTAGAGCAAAAATGTATGAAGGTTTTTTGTAGAAAAAAATTTTTTACGTCAATAAACCGTATTAGTTTTCAATTTTTTACATAGTAAAGACGGAAAATTGAGAAAATAAAACCCGCATCTTTTTGAATAATCTGCGATGCCATGGAATTTTGTAAAACAAAAAGATGTCAAGTTGTCAATTAGCAGCTGGATTTTATGATCGACTTGGTTACTGTCTTGCATAGTTAATGGTGACTTATTCGAACATTTACTGTCAATTTTATTGTTGTATTAGCAAACCGTTTTTAGTAATTTGGTCTTTCTTTATGTTGAATTCGCTGTTCTAAATATACTTTTTGATAGAATTTGATTTGTTTTATAGCAGACATTCCATGGCATGACGGATATTGTAGTTTTTGTATTATAAAATTTTTATTGAAAAAGATGCAGGTTTTATTTTTCCAATTTTCTGTCTTCATTATGTAAAAAATTGGAAACTAACGCGGTTGATTGACGTAAAAAATTTTTGTCTATAAAAAACCTTAATACATTTTTGCTCTAAAATAATTTGGGGAGCCAATAATCGCATGTTATGAATTTTACATTGAAATCCCTATGATGCGCGACGCAAGTCACCACCCTGTATACTATAGCTCGAACACTGAAGGTGGGCAGTCGGGTTTATAAAATAAAAAAATTTGGAGATTAGCAACGCCACTGAGCTAAAAAAATACTAAAAATAAAACTAAATATTGACGTTAATCTAACAATAATTGAAACAACTGAAAGTGTCTGTAAAGCTTAGGATGGTACAAAAAAAAGAAAACCCTCTTGTACAAATCGTCCTAGTTAAAATGTACATTCATAATGGCGCACGTGTTTCGAAACATGCGTGCATCGCGCTGAAATTACATAAGCCGGTTTAAGTAAAATGTTCAGCAAAGAGCACAATTTCAATTACAAAGTTCACTTCAAAAGTATCCGCGACATAAAATATTTTCGGCTATTAAACAGCTAGTCTTCGGTTTATTGAGCGTGTCCACCTCTATAATATGACCGGTTAGAACAGTAAATAGTCCTTCGTCCATTAAATTAATATTGCCATTTGGCATAAATTTTTAGATATGTGCCCACCAAGCAACCGAAGCTTCAAAGGGTATCATTTCGTTCGCTAAAAATGATTAAAGTGTAGTAAAGTATTAAATCACGTCTGCTATTATCTAAATGCACGTTTAGCCCGTTAGCTTCCAGCCGTAGTAATAACATGGTTTATGAAGCAGTAATTTTTATTTTCATAAAAGCATGCCTAATGCTACTGTTGACAGTCACATTGTAAAAGTACTCCGACTTCAATCAGTGCTGTAACACGCGGCGGCGCACGCGAGCGTATATGACTAGGGGATAGTGAATTTGTTGAACGCCACTGATTTTAATATACGTTTCACTGACCGTTCAGCATATCAAGAAAGTGAAGCGGAACCTTACAAATATAATGCTTGATATTAAGCTTAACAGAGCTAACATGGTTAAGGAATTGAAAATATAAGTTGCCTTAAGAATGCGTACAGTTATATTCGAGTGCGGTAGTGGGACCATGACATTAGCAACTGAATTTTATCAATAAACAAATTCATTCTTTTTTTGACCATTTCGCAGATCGGAGCATTGTATTAATAAACAAAAGTGAATTTGCCGGTATTTAAATGATGTTTTGGTGTTTTTTGGTTGTATTAGTGACGGCGTCGATTGAAAAAGTTTACCTCCAAACAGTATCAAGTGGTGCAAGGGAATTATCTGCTGTAAGAAGATCGCTGGATCCAACCCCTAGGACAGTTTCCGCTTGGTCGATTCTCAACCAAGTAGCAATGACCGATGGTAATAATTTTTAATCAAATTCGTTTTAATAACCGCCCTATTTCAGATAGTACCGAAGAAGTGGGTAGGAAAAGAAAGAAGGGGAAGTTCAAGAAGAAACTTAAAAGGTTCATGTTACCCCTTTTGTTAGCTTACAAAATGAAATTTTTCACATTAATACCAATTTTAGTCGGTGGATTAATTTTACTTACCGCATCAACTGGGTTAGCCGGTTTCTTTTTTGCACTTTTTGCGGCTTCGCTAGGTTTGAAAACGGGATATAAATAAAGTAAACGGCCAAATAAGTAAAAGGGTTTCATAAATTAGTGCAGGAAGTAATTTGCCATTTACATTTTAGGGTAGCTATTTATTTATTAAACAGTGTATTAGTGAAATTGTTATATCAGCTGTATCTTAAGATCGGAAATGACATTCTGTATTAAAATAATTTCAATTCTTCCCTAAGACTGATTAAATATTGTATTCCGTTACATTATGTACACCTTCAACATAATTTTATTAGAGTCACCAATAACCACAAGGGTTTATGCTCTAGTTAAGTACACCATGCTAACGAAACTGTAATGTAGTGCTCCATAGTATTAATCAAATTGTGTGCGATTTACAGATATTCCGATAATGCATAGTTGCTGTACAATAATCCAGTCATAAATCTGCTCACAATAATTGTATTTGCGTCATTAACAGCTATACCTATTCGATTTGATAACAATCGAAAAGTGTTTGTAGATATTGAAAAATTGTAAATCAATTATGCCCACATGGTCTATAATGGGTAGGTATATTATTTATTTATTATGAATTTTTTATACAGTTATGCGTTGGCGTTTATTTGTAGGCGTGCAGTAAAATCTACAGTTTAAAATTTGTGCAAATGTCTCTTTTAGTTGCTATAAAATTACCATTCATTAAACATACCAATAAATTAACCAAAAATGCTTTATTTCAACCCAAATAAGTTGAAGAACGTTCTCCGTCATTTTTGTACGCTAAAGTTTCCGAATTTAAAAATCTTTCTAATTCGTTTATGTGCGTGCAGAAAATGGGTATCTGAGTATAGTTATTTTATTGCCTGCTCTAGTATTGTTGGAATGTAAAAGTCACCAAACTAATTTTGCCAAAGGTCATCGTTTCTGTTCGCACATTTAGAATTTTTAGCAATACGATCACAGTTCCTTCATCGTTCTTCTCATGCTCTTCTAGTTTTGTACATAAAAATAAAATTATTTAATATCAATACTTACATTCATTGCTCTCCTTGCTCATGCAAGAAGCATTTCGTGTAACAATTGAGTTATAAGTGGTTTCTCCCTATTTCTACTCCGCGGAATCAGATTGTACCTCTTTCCAAGTCTGAAAATGGCCCGAAAGGAAGATATTCAAGATTGCGCCCAATATGGCGGTATTTAAACTCCGTCTAAAATGCTAGATTATTATACGGTTCAAGGGTCTGGACGCACGCATTTGGGGCAGTAACGTGATTTCTCATATTTCAGCCGAAATGGCGCCAAATATTTGCATTGTGCTTATGCTTTGGTACACACATGTTCTTAAGGATATAAAAGGGTCGCTATCGTTTTCAGCTACGTAGACTAACGGCCCAAAAACCGCGAAAGCCTCCAAAGTAAGGCTTTCTTTTATAATTTATTCTTGTTGCAAAGAACATTATGAATGTCTGGTTTCCTGTGTTAGAAGTCGTATAGTCACAGGGAGACGGCCACTGCAAAATGGACTAGGTAGAGGTAGAAATATAAGAGCATAATTAGATACATCTGACAGGCGACTAGCTTTGCAGTGGGCGGCTTCCTGCGATGATGGACGTGACTGTTTTTATACTAGACAACGTCTTATCGATATTTATGACACCTCAAGCAACTAGCAGATGAATAAAAAAAATGTGCACATGCGCAACTCAACTATTGATTTAATCAGATTATTTACAAGACAACTTTAATGAAGCTGTATTAAAAAGGCACTTTATTACCATGAGCGTGCTTTTACTCACGGCGCCGGCGGCACTTTAAAAATCCGCTTAGGAGTTGTTTGGCCCCTACAATACTGGCCTGGCAGCTTACAAAATGTATTGAAATAGCCCCCTAAATACCATAGATAACTAGTTGTCAGATAATCTCTGGAATCGACTCTCCGATTATGCTTACGTCTCCAGATAAATGCAAATGTAAGAAAATAAAATAAATAGTTTAACTTTTCAATAAAAAATTGGTTGGAAACTAAGAAACTACCAAAAAAAGTGTAATGGGCACTTTTGTAGAGTTTTTTATGCAACCTTAACCAGTGTATTACGCATACCCTTTCTTAACCTCTGGATTATGGTACCTACTCAACGCAGAACGGGGTATCGTAAACATATACCTGCATATACGCGCATAGGAGAAATGGAATCAAGTGGAAGTACTTCACGGACGAACTGTCGGAATAGGATACTCGCTACGGAAAATGCAACGTATAAAAGCCCATTTGTAGTTGGGTTATTCTTTTCAACAACAAAATTGGAAGAAAAATAGTTATGCGCCACTTGTCTTTGGCATCTTTCACATGCTCATATCATATCGTGATTTTACTATGAAACTACAACGTAAGGGAGTGTCTAAAATGATCCTTTCCTTTTAATTTCATCCTTAAATCTTATAATGTAAATAATGTTTATATTTTAGAACTCTCCATTTTTTGTAAGATCAAGAGGAAATGCGGGAAATTAGTTTTAGTTTCCTTCAGTCACCACTAGGGGGCGAATAAGCACTTCAAATTTATCTAGAATTTTGAATGGAATTTAATGATATTTCGAAAACAGTGTAGGTACTTTCATGCCCTTTAATTATCTGTAAATGTAAATACACATTTACACATTCAAATTTTCGGAGAAGTAACCCAAAATTTATAAGTGCGCCACCTAGCGGCTACAAATATTGCTAACTTGATATATGACCAAAGATAAATAGTATTATGAACAAAAAATTAATAGCGAATTGATTTCTAAATGAAGCCAGGTTTTTAAAAATCCATGAAACAAAAGAAGTAATGTAATGTTTTTTATAACCACATTTGGTTCTAATTTTTCACCTTATATTCCCAGACACGTAAAAATACATAGGAACATTTTAGTTGCTTAACGATTTTTACGGTAATAACATGTTCGATATATCACTCCAATTTTAGTTACAAACATGACCACAACATATTCGTATTATTTATTATAATATTAACATTTTTCCATAAAGAGAGGATATTTACAAATATATAGAAGTATAAAGGAAGAGAAAATTCGATATATCCCCGTGCCAATTGTCCTCACTCTATACAGAAAAGTGTACATCAATCCATATTGTTGAGACACTCTGTAAATGCAATCCTGAATTAGGTCCTTCGGGAATAGTTTTCCTTACGCGAATTTTTCGTATGCTAATATTATGCGCATACAAAATTGACCACTACTCAAAATGTTTATGGAGTAATGCCTCACTGGAAAGTATGAATCTTTGGAATGTGTTGTGTGTAAAGATCCCTTTTTTTAGTTTCTCGTAAATATTTTGTAAACGAAAGCCCATAGTAAAAAATATTCTTCTACTTAAGTAATCTACATAAAATTCTCCACGCAAAGTTTTATTTAGATTACTGAACTATAAGAATATCTTGGCTATGGGTCACATTTCACATTTCATATCCTCCGTTAAAATTTAGGGTTATTTACGGTGCCTTATATGGATCGCATTTAAACAACCGCTAATTTTAAAGTAATCAACAGAGAAAATAAGTGTCTTACGCTAAACTGTTACCGGCACTATACCAATTAACAATATCAACTTTTTCTTTAGTTGAATACATCGCACACGAACGAAAATAAAAATACGGTAGTCAAAGCAGCAATATTCCAATTAATATAACAGCCAGATCTTCCATTTGTTTTAAGAAGTTATTTTGGTTGCATAAAATTAGGCGTTCTTCAGAAGAGTTTTTGTCATTTAAAACTAGACATAGTGTAAACAATACACAAATACCTATGTCTACTTCTAAATGAATGTCACTGTATACCAACATTCATTTTTACACTAATTACTCGCTCTATTTTTCCTACGTTGAGTGGACCAGAACCGAAATACCCTTGGAGCGGAAATTTAGGGTGCGAAGTGAAAATTATTTCGATGCAAATTATCCCGGCGCGAATTTATTATATATCTAATCGAATCCCTTAAATACCCCAAGGGTGTAAGGGTCCGGCGCGGATTTATGGGGTGCAAATTGTCCGCATACGGTGATATCTTCATCATATACCTACAGTTGGTGTCTGTCTGCGTGCCAGGAGCTGTAAACTTATAAAATATCCTGCGATTCGCCTCTGGTACCAAGGGCACCATTTTTATAAATGTCGTGTTAAAAATGTATGTTTTGTATAATTACCGTAAGCCGTTTACTTCACCATGGCGATGGCCACTCTTGTAGCTCATACCGAATGTGGCCTTTTCTTGTGGAGCGATCGATAGATTTTATCCAGATGGTAGAAAAGTCCCTTTTTTGGTTATTTCTTATTTTCTAATTAGCAGCTGATTTATGAGTCTTTTTGGTCAATTAGCAGTTATCAAATTTTGGGCACGCAAGGCGGAGAGCAGCAAAAATGTACGTTTGCAATTCCGTTTACATAAGCATCGAGTAGAATAAACATGCATCTAAGCACTTAACAAGTACTTAATTCAAGACATGAAACAACCGTGCACGATGTTATTAACAGAGTAAGTTAATAATCTCACTATTTACACGAATGAGCAGCCAGGCGCGTTAATACAGCTACGTAATCTTCATCAGAAATGATATATACATGCCAGAGACTTGCTATAACTTGATACTACATGCAAGTATACAGCATTCGGTAATTAAGCATTAATCCAATACAAAGGTATTCTACAATTTCACACATTTTTTCCTTGCAAAGAACACCCACTCACCTTTTATGAGTTTTAGTAATTAAAGTGTAATAAAGTTATACCGGTATCCCATCTTGCTTCAGGCAAATTCTCACAATACAATTAATTGCCGATTTTTATCGTTTTTGGAAATGCTGCACGCAAAAGACAAAAAGTCTACATGCAGCGAAGATCATACATGAGTTTAATATGTAAGTGAAACGGTTTTTATCTTTTGGGTTTGTGGTGTTTGAGTAAACATTAAATTTGTTGTGGGGGATTTAATTTAGGTGGGGAAAGATTTAAGGTGTTTGGAATTGTTTTAAATAAAATTAGTCGCATGTAAAGATAAATCAGTTAAAAGTGTCCTATCGCGTCGAAATTTAAACTATATTGCTGTTTTGTGTAACATTTTTTTTATATTTTTGAGAAAAACTTGTTACGTAACTGATGATTTGGTCCTTGGTTAGAATAATATACACCAGATAGGTGTGAAAAATAACTGCTTTATTTAATTTCATAGAACGTTTGAATTAAATAAGATTTGCAAGCGTGTTCTTTTGTTAAATTTTATCCTCTTAAGGTTTTTGTACGACATTATTGTTGTATAAAGCTGTGCCGTAGTTACAGTTGTTTAGATTATTCAGCGAAAATTGATATTTGACGATCAAGAATTCACGTTACTTCGTTTCGTAATTTCACTAACGTTTTTAATTCAGAATTGAATTGTACAAATTTGATACACATATTATTCGACATAAAAAGAGTTGAGTGTTGGGCAAAATCACGCATGCGCAGGTGTGCGGATGGTATTTGTACTCACAGCAAATCTTTCTGTTCTCTGTTACACGACGCTCGTTAAATTTGTTCCGGAGTAGATAAGGGTGTGTTTACGATCCAGTAAATTTTGGTTTTCATGTTACTTTGGGTAAACCAAGTGGTAGAGTACAAAATAAAAACTATTAAAAAGTAAATAGAATAAGTCAACTCAATTTTCTGCTAAAATCTTGTTGGGATTTCACG